TGTGTGTGTGTGTGTGTGTGTGTGTGTGTGTGTGTGTGTGTGTGTGTAGCAGAAAGAGCTAGATAAATATGAAGGATCACTTAGTGGATGATTCTAAGATTACAAACCTGTACCATGGGTTTGTGGTTTTAACCCAACTTATCTCTAAAGATCAATTAGCTATCAATAAGCACAAAATGAGACCACAATGCTTCCTCCTACTTACTTACCCATAAATTTACCTGTATTTGTATTGATACTATTACTATACTACTCTACTATCTAACAATGATTCTCAAAAATTTCACAAAGATTACTCTCTAAAAATCATTTTTATGTGTATGAATGTTTTGACTGCGTATAAGAACACTATGTATATGCGGTGCCCACAGAGGCCGGAAGATAGTGTCAGATCTGTGGAACTAGACTCACACATGAACATGAGCTGCCACCTGATTGCTGAACTGGACTCTGGAAAAACAGCAAGCTTTCTAATCACTAAGCAGCTAAGCAATCTCTATAGACCTTAAAAATTACTTTTATTGGATGTTTTTCCTTTACATAAGCTTATTTTGTTTGTAAGATCCCATATAAACATTAAGAATAAAATACCTGAAGGCTTTTAGAGTAAAGGAAAGTTTTATATTCATCAAAATACTTTTCACTGAGAGTCGGGGAGGATGTTTTAGAGGAGGTGGAAGTTGAGGGAAAAGACATTGTTGGTGGTACATTGATCACTGGCTGCATTATGTATTTCCAGGCAGTTATTATCAAACTCTAACATGCATAATAACTTGCCAGATACAAGGATTAATGAACTTAATCCCCAGGGAGACCTAACTTAGTAGGTTTGCAGGTTGATTTGGGAATTTTATTTGAACAGACAATGCCCTTTGTAAGGCATTGTTAGAAAGATTACCATGTAGGCTTCTTTTAGCTTCACTAAGCCTTATAGCCCTGGGTATCCTAGAACTCATTTTATAGATCACCCTGGCCTCAAACTCACACAGATACACCTCCTGAGTTCTGGCATTAAAAATGTATGCCAGCACAGACAGCTAATGCCTCTTTTTTTTTAATCAAGTGCTCTGGCATAGTGGTTATGTAATACTATGCTATATTGGTTTTAAAGTGTTCCTTGTCTTATACTCAATAAACAGAAGTATTGAAAAGTAACTTCTCCATAAATATTTGACAATGAAAAGACTAAATGGGGGTGTTTTCCTATGTGTTTTTAAGATAATTCAACTCAACAAAAAAAAATTTAAATGGTTTTTCTGAATAAGAATCTATTCTGAGAAGTAGACATTCCCTCAATTTGGCAAGAAACAAATGGATAAGTTCACAGACAAGTCAAACACAAAGGAGGAATGTTTCCAGCTATCTCTTCCTGCCCACTTTCCTGGATTTCTGTGATGGTCTGAGTATTCATGCCCAGGCTCATGAATGGAAATCTTGACTAGCTAAGAGCTATTATTAGAAAGTGGAGCTTTGGAGGGAAGGTGATCAGGTCACAAGAGAGTATCTTCATCAGTGGCATTAGAGCATTTGTAAGAGTGTCCCCAGAGTATTGCGCTCCCACCATCATAACTTGAGGCTACCTTGACAAGGCTCCTTTTCTGAAAAAAACAGACTTTCCTTGGAGGCCACATCCTCCAGAATCTCAGTCTGAACTTCCAACACTCCTTATTGTGAAAA